CACCCCCCCCACCCCCTCCCACCCCCCCTCGCGTCGGTGGGGGTGTTGGGGGCTCTACCTCGTCGTCGTCGTCGTCATCGCCGTCGCCGCTCTCACTCTCCTCCTCCTCACCCTCCTCTTCACCCTCATAGTCCTCATCATCCTCCCACACTGCCGGTCCCATCTCAGAATCATCCTCCTCGACAGTGACAGGGCCTCCTTTCTTCCTCAACACAACAACCCTCGCACTAGCCTGTGCGACCGTTTGTTGACGGCTGGATCCACGAGGCATCCCCAACCCCTCCGCACCCGAAGACCCTTCAAGTGCATCGCCTCCCTGTGCAAGCACGGGGCGTGGACGAGGCACTCCACGCTTGCACGGATTCTGCTCATGCACAACACGTGTCACTGCTCTCAAAGTGTGGTCCAAGGTCGAGGTTGACTCCTCCGCCTCGACCTCGCCGAGGCTCACAACCTGCTGCTGCAACCTCCCTCACTGAGGTCGTCCTGGCGCTGCGGTGACCCAACCCCGACTGAAGGCGAGCAGTGCGCTCAGTGACACGACAGGTGGAATCCAAATCTATGTCCGTCCTCCCGTACAACACCGTGTAGTGCACATGGCGCCCAACCGCTGTCGTGTCACGAACGCTCGATCTCCCAGGCGTGTGTGGGGATGGAGAGCCTCGAGTTGTGGGCGGCGACGATGGATCACCCTCACATGGTCTAGGAGGAGGGGCTGACATGTCTCCTGTACCTGGCGCTCTCTCCCGCAGGCCCCCCAAAACCCCTGGAACATATGCCCTACTCGACCCTGCGCTGGAGGTAGACCCGGACCACACCGGCGACATAGGGCCCCATGGAACCGAGGGAATCCTCTGGCTGGTCGAGTTTTGGGTTAAATACCCGGTGGTCCACTCGAGTCACATTGCGCACAACAGCCGCTGCTAACTCCTCGGCATCCAATGGATGATCGACCTCCTGTGGACCTGGTCGTCGAGGATGTGGATGTACAACCATCGACGCGGACCCCAAATCCTCGATGATAACTGGTGGGACATCATGCACTGCCACCTCAGCCGGCTGTGACCGTTGGGCCTCGACCAAGTGCAGGCCCGAGAACGGGTCGAGTGGACCGGTTTATGTCTCATGAGATGCCGCCGGCGCGTCTCCAGGCCCCTCGTATTGCCCCTCTCCACCCTCTATAGCCTCATCCACTGGTTGTGACCCACCCTCCATACCCTCCCCCGCCTCTGCTGCCACGACCTCCATAGAGTCCTCCCCCATCGCTGCCCCACCCTGCTCACCATCTCTCCCTGTCTCTTGGCGCCTGCACTCCTCCAAGGCCTGTGCGAACGCCTGAGCACACGGGTTGCTGGATGCCATCAGCCGAGCCCTCTCTCGCTCCATGATGTCGCGTGTTGCATCTGGAGACTCTGCGCCTGCCGCCTCGTCCCTCAATGGCGCCCTATCCGTCGATGCCACCCCGCCGCAACTAGGGGGAAAGCCCATCGACATGTCAGTCGAAGTGGGTCCCCATCTCCGAATCCGACATCCCCAAACCCCTTGCCACACCCGGGGTGATACGCGCCGCTACCGGATCGAGCTCCTCCGTCATGAACTGCTGCATGAGGCGCTCTTTGACGGTCGCACCGCCCTCAGCGTCGTCCTCACCATCACGCTGCATTTGGGCCTGAAAAATGGGTGCTCGGTTAACCTGCTCTCGCTGCATGGCAACATCCGACATCTGTGCCGCTGCTGCTATCTCCTCCTCCGCTGCTGCCACCTCCTCCTCCACTGCTGCTGCTGATGCACCTCCTCCTCTGCCGCCGCTGTTGTCTACTTCTCCACTGCTGCCACCTCCCCCTCCACTGTTGCTGTTGCTGCTGCTACTGCACCCCCCTCCGCTGCTGCCACCTCCCCCTCCACAAGTGTTGTTGATGGTACCCTCTCCTCCTGCAACATCCCCATGGAAGGTGATTGTAACCTCAGCTGGCGGATCACCCCGGATCTCTGTAGAAGTCTGTGCTGAGGCAAGGAGGATGCCAACTCCTCCATGTCCGCCGCTGTCGTGGCCGGCTCATGTGGCAAGACTAGCGATGGTGGTGCAGGACTCGGAGCTGGAGGTGGCGGCATGGACGCGCCGTGTCGGAGCCGGAGTCGTCATTCGCGCCTCTGTCTGGATCATGCCTGCATGCGAGCCCCTGACTCTGTGATCACGCATATCACCTGTGGTAGCCACCTCCCCGAAAGGTCTCCAAAAATCCTTGTCTCCCCCCAACATCTCCCTGTCCGCCAGGTCCGCCACCCGTTGTGCGGTGTGTGTCCTCGTCTCCTCGTCGTTGGGATCGTCGTGCGTCTCATCGATCTCGCGGGGAATGCGAAGCGCAGGGTCATTTGCGGCCTCGGGTATCGGCTCCTCATCCGAGTCATCCTCCCTGGGGTAGGGACGGAAAATGCAAGCACGTCGACCAAAAACGGCATCAGCAGAGTGCGGTGCGGAATCCCCGATGGGATAGCGCGTAATAAGCGCAACCTGCTGGGCAATCTCCTCCTCCGTCATCCCCCTGCGCGTGCCTGTGCGCACCGGCTCCACCTCGAGTTTTGCCGGGCAGTCGAGCATGCCCTCATCCCGCTGCCATGGCAACACATAACCACATCTTGCCCGCCGATACTCTGTCAACCGCACATTTGCGGTGATCTCAACTAGTTGCACGGCCTTCTCGGAGACCAACTGGTTGTGCTTCTTCGTGTGGATGTCCTCGTGGACTGCCCAGTTCCTCTTCGTTTGAAAGGCGCAGGACCACATGTGCATCACACAAAGAGCGCACCGCTGCAACTCAGGCGCACCAACCCCGAATTGGGACCACCAAGACGCGCACTCGATCGTCTCAGCGTCACCGCTACACACACGAGCATGCCCTCCGCCCCGGCCCAATCGCCAAAACTCCCCTGCTGCATGTGGAAGTCCTCAAACCGACGACATGCAATGATGTAATCCGCACCGTCTAACTCGAAACCCGTCTTGCCTTACAATCCAAGCATAGTACTCCGCTACCTCGCCTGAAAAGTAGTGAACATGTCGCCTGTGTGGGTTCAGTAAGAACCTAGCGCAGTAAGTCAGCTTAAGCATGTATTGTGTGCGGGTCTGCACATGCCTGATGATCCGGTCAGTGAAGGACTGCCCCAAAGGAGCGCATGCGTCCGTCACACGGTGGACAAGATCCTGTGTCCACTCGATCATGAGCAATATGAACTGTCCTTCACGATCCATCCGCCTAAGCAACTTCATGACGGGATCCATGATATGGACGATGGTGGCCACCTTCTGCCACGAAGGATCCCATCTGATCTGTCGGCGCACCCAACATGCCATGATGCACACATCAGCGGACCACGGGATGGAAGCAAAAGCCCGCAAGTTGTCTTCTCGCATCATGTCCTCCAAAGTGTCCTGCAGAGACAACAACCTCTCCAGCATGGAATAAATAGACAAGAATTGTGTCTCGCAGGAAAGAATAAGCCCCTTGTCGGGGTTGCGCCTCCCAAAAAAATGAAGGGTGGCCTGGTGGGTTTTGAAAAACACCACCAACACACGAGCACGCGTGATCGTGTCCATAAACGCGTCGCAACTCGTCCCCATGTATGACAATAATTTGTTGCAGACATGGACGGAGCACGGGAGCCAAGTGATCCTCCTCAGTGCAAGAGGCATGGTCGGTGAGACCATTGCCCTTGCAGCCCCCACGTACGCAGAAGCGGAGTCAGTGCATATCGCATTGACCCGTTGCGGCCAACCGAAGTTGAACTCGTGGAAGATTGTAACCCATCTCCGAACGACGTGCTCTGCATCGTCCAACTCGCCCTCTCGATTGATCGTCATGTACATGACGACCCCTCGCGATCCAGCGGCAAGCAAATTCATGATCGGTCTCCCGTCTCGTGATTTCCTCCCGTTAGAAAGGATGGTGGCACCAGTCACCAAGAATGGCTGCCTGACCTCCTCCAACTCCTCCGCCAACTCCGCACGGTGGGTCTCCAACGCCCGCATACCCACAATCTCGCTGTGGTTGGAAAGCACAGCGAGCGGGGAACTGCCAGGCTGCGTAAGAAGCATCTGTTGATATGCCTTTCATGCCTGGTTTCGGAAGGCATTGAAGGAGACCCGCTGAAATAAAGCCAGCGAAGGAAGGCCTTCTTGTGGCGAGCAACCCACTCGCCACCGTAGACCTCAGTCATCTTCTGCTGGCGAAGCCTCTTTCCAGTTTGGGTGGCAGTTGGATCAGCTCCCCACTCGTACCCTTCATTGCTGGCACCTGTCCCTTGCCTTCTCGCCGCCAATGAATCCCCTGCGGTCATGACCGCGGAGTCAATCTCGGCCCGTGGTCTGGATCCCGACCGCTGAGGTCGGCTGCGGGCGGGGGGCCGCGGTCCTGATTTTGTAATATTGTTTTTTCCTATTAAATAAATATCAAAACCAAAATAAAAAAAATGGGGTTGTAAGGTTTGAAAATACCTACAACCCCATCTTTGTTTTTTTGGAATACGAAGTGTTTTAAACTGTTTTTCAATTAAAAAAAAATAGAAAACCCAAAATTAAGTATTTTAATAAAAAAGAAACGTAATTAAAAAAAAATTAAAGGAATTTTTAATTTTTCGTGTGTGTGTGTGTGTGTGTGTGTGTGTGTGTGTGTGTGTGCATGTGTGGGGGGAAGGGCGACCCCTTCCCCACCAATCAATCAATCAATCAA